CCTGCGCCCACGCGCGCTGTCACCCCAGCTCCGCGCCACTCCGCGCCGATTGGCCTTCCCGAAGTCCCACCCCCGCAGGAATCCCGTCTATTGGTTGAAGGGCACGGAGGGCGGGGCAGGGCGCGGCTCCTATTGGCGAGCGGCGCTGTCAGTTCGCGCGATTGGAGTTGGGCAGCTGAGGCGGCGGGGGATTGCTGAGAGGCCGCGTCGTGTTGGGGGAGATGTGGGAGCGGAACCTGGTGCTGTCCGCCCCGGGGAAGGTGATCCTCCACGGGGAGCACGCCGTGGTGCACGGCAAGGTAAGGAGCCTGCCGCCACCGCCGGGGGCTCCCGGGGCTCCGGCCTGGTTTCGCCGCGCCTCGCCTGACTTCACCTCTCCTCACGCCGCTTCTCCTGTCCCGCAGGTGGCCTTGGCCGTGGCGCTGGACCTGAGGACCTTCCTCCGCCTGCGGCCCTGCGCTGAGGGCAGGGTGTGCGTCCGCCTGCCCGGCGTCGGCGTCGTGAGGAGCTGGGACACCCCCCGCCTCCAGGCCCTGCGGAGGGGCTTTGCAGGCAGGCGCTGGGAGCCGGACCCTGCCGCCCGTGTGTTGTGCGGGGCTCTTGGTCCTGCTCGGCACCTTCTGGCCGGTGACTGTGCTGGGACCCCCGTGGGGTGATTTGTTCCCCCTGCAGAGCGTTGCTGGGCCTCGTCGTCTGTGACCGTGCACAGTGCGTGTTAAACACTAACGTGTCCCTGCATAGCCCCAGCTCAGGCACCCGCACTCCCTCTGTGTGCCTCCTGTGACCTGCCTGATGCTCTGGTATCTGTGAGTGGCCCTTGCTGTGGCTGTGTCCTCCTGTTTGAGGTTCCCAGAGGCTTGTTCTAGTGCTGCTGCTGCTCAGGTGGTGGTGTAATATGTACAGAACCGGCCAGGGACCACATCCAGGGGTATTTACTGATGGGGGGGGGAGTTGAGGGCTCTTGGGGAAGGCAGAGAGACAGGGCCTGTTTTCCGGCTTCTGCCCCATGCCAGCCCTCCCTAGAATTTCTGCAGCACCTTGTATTGGGTGGAGCCCCTGGCTGGTGGTTGTGCCATTTCCCTCCAGACTACCTGGCATTAACTCCTGTGACCCTCACAAGCACTGTTTGCTTAGCAGAAAGTAGAACAAAGTCTGCTGAGTCAGAGCATTGGTAACCTATCTCAGCACCGACCAAAAGGTCTCTTACACTGGTGTCTCCTCCTGGCCATTTGGAGTCTGGACTTGCGTGAAGCATATCAGAATATCCATGTTCTTTAATAAAGAGTTTGTGACTTGCTGAGTTCTACATAGTGATGGATGGGCACACTGAAAAGTGTAGGCAAGGAGGCAGTTGTTGTAATACAGTGCAGGTGTGGAAACACTGGGTGTACAAAGTGCCTGGTAGAGATTTTGCTTTTATTTCATCATGAATCCTCAGGTAGAAAGTTGGTAGGTAAAATCTGAAATTGGCTCAATCTGTTGCTGCCTACTCTAACAGGAGATGTTGTTCTTGTCAATACTGCTTTCAAGTTTAACAGTTCCCTGGTTTTTAAGTGTTAAAACTCTCCCCTGCTTGCTTCCATAGCTGACTTTGATGAATCTAAATCCCCCAGCGTAGAACAGCTGGATACACTGAGAGAGTTTGCTGGAATCGCTGCTGGAGCCTCAGCTCCCGAGAGCCTTGCTACTCTTGCCTTTCTGTATATGTGCCTGGCTATTTCGGCTAAGTATGGGTAAGGCTATCTTCCTACCCCAAAATAAACATGCTGTCGTGTTGTTTGCCATTAATTGCTTCTACAAGGTCACAGGAAGAAACCAAATCTTTGAGGCAAAATGAGATATTACAGGGAATCTCCTTTCATTTAGGTTCTGAGCACCTAAGGAGACACTCTTCAGAGCTCAGCTGTTTGGTGGGTGGGGTGCCCCACGCAGGTGGGCTGGGAATCATCTGCTCTCATTTAGGCATCTAGCTTTGAGGTGCTTAAGTCAGAGCAGTTCATCCCACCCTTCCTGCGCAGTCAACAGAAGCAGAGACAGACATTCCTTCCTCCAGCAGACAGCTCATTTCATCCTGGCTTAGGTTAGAAAAACTGCTACAGAAATGAGCTGTGAATTCATTGTCTGAGCTAAGTCTAATCCCTCTTGTGGGCTGAATCTCCTGAAAAATATGAGAACTTGGGGCAACTGCAGCTCGGGGCTGTTCCTGCTTCTGAACTTGACCAACGCTGTTGATATCAGTGTAAGTTACTGGACAGGTGCGCAGGGCGATGTCTGGTGCGGCACTGCTTGCCATTTTAAACCAAGTCAGAATCGGACTTCAATATTCATAGCAAAGGAATCAAAGGTTAAAGAATTATGATGTGTAGCTGCATCGTGTTTTGCTTTGCAGTCTGTGAGTTGCTTGGTGATAGCACTGGGGCTGTCATCAGCCTGCTCCGAAACCGTCGGTTCATAGTTCACGTCACTCACCAGCCAGTGAAAAGCTCCTGGGTTTGATGTTGGGGTCTGTAACGCAACCCAGACACATTCAGTGGAGAAGAGGGGCGTGTGGGCACAGATATGTGTGTATTTCGTCTTCCCCATCAGCTTCTCGCTCCAGTGGGATGTAACTGCAGTTATGGATTTAGGGATATTTAGGCTTTATTTAGAAATATGTTTAAAATTATGTTTACGAAAATCTTTGAAGGGTCTCTTTATGGTGCTACTCAAGTATTTAGTTACTAAGTGCCCCTGCTAGCAGCTTGACAAGCTGTGCTAATCATAGATCCAATTCAGCAAGGCTTTGTTCTAGTACAATGGCTTAGCAAGGCTACTCAGCTGTGCTAACTGAGCACTCCTGAAGCCTCTCTGTGTCAGATGCGTATGCATGTGCTGATGTTGCCAGTTTTCAAGCAACTTTTCCTGTGATCAGTCCTAATTGGTGTCTTTTGCCTTTGAAATGTTGTCTCAAGATGGAATTCAAGGTCCTTGTGTTACATCCTGTGTGTTTGTGTTTTCAGAGATGTTCTGAGCGTGGACATACTGGTGTGGTCTGAGCTGCCCACGGGAGCTGGGCTGGGTTCAAGTGCCGCCTATGCTGTTTGCTTGGCGGCGGCCCTGCTGACAGCATGTGGAGCCATTTCGTGCCCTCTGAAGGAAGGAGAGTCCACAGCAAGGTAACGCATCGCGTCGGGGAAGCCGCCCTGCCTTGGATGCACGGCCTCGGGCAGCTCTGCTCTCTGCGCCTCTGTCTCTTACCTGCACAGATTCTGGCACTGGCACCTCTCTTGGTCTCTCTGGCCAACTCCTGGGCTATGACTGCGGCCACAGCAGTGGCACCCTGAGCCCAGTTCCTTTCCCTTCCTCTCCTGTGGGTGCCCTGTGTTCCCAGCAGCAGAGATGTGCCCTGTCCTGGGGCTCTGACCTGTGAATCGCATGTTTGCAATTCGCCTCTACTGATAAAAGCAACTGGATGCAGAGACTTGGTAAAACTTGCCCCGTTTCCCTTGGCTAGTGTAAGATATGCATACTGAAAAGAAAAGAAAAAAAAAAAAACCAAACACTTTATTTTGCCAAGCCAATAAAACACACACTTCAATGTAGTGACCTTTTTAACCTGTATTTCCTCTCTGTCCTTGAGCATCATCCAGGTTTTGCTTTGAGTCCTCGAGGAGTCGAGGATCCTTTCTGTTTTTTCTGCATTTTCACATGAATTTTTTCTGCATGTGGTACATTTCCTTCTGATCTCCTGCCTGAGTGTCCCGTTTATCAGTGGCTGGTGAAAGGGAGTTTCTTTCCTTCTGCCCTTGGGTTGCTTTCCCTTGGAGTTCAGTCTTGAAAAACTGGTCTGCTCTGCTGTGTGTCTGAGGAGGCTCTGTTTAAAGATGCGTATCGCAGCTGGAGTGGCATGAACCCTTTATTGTGTGCTCGGTGCCAGGTGCACCCTTTTATGGTTGGCTTCTGTGGATTTTGTGTGGGACTGAAAGCGCGACAGCAAGAGCGGGTGACTGTGTTCTGCTTCAAAAACAGAGTTTGCAGCCTGACCCAGAAACCTGTTCCTAGAGCGGAGCAGTTTGTACGCTGTGCTTGGGTAAATCTCCCAAATAGTCACACGGCATGAGAAATGAACGGCCAGTTCCAAACCAGGCAGCGAGGATGTCTTCATTCCCTGCTCGCACGTCTTAGCTTCAGCTTGAATACAGCGTAATTATTTTTTTTTTTTTCCTTCCAGCTGGCATGCAGAGGGGTAAGTGAGAGATGGGGGTGTCAGACTTCAGAAGGTTTTTGCTTAACATCGCAAGAAAAGAACAGCGTGATATAATGACTCCTGTGTAGAGAAGAATCGCAGCCTCTCAAAGAGGATTAAAAACAAGTGGTTTACAGCAAA